TTACCATTGCCCAGTGACTCTATCACACAACCGGTGACTCTATCCCCGCTCAGCTTTGAGATTTGGGGGCGCCTCTGAGAGCCCCTTACAAGACGAAGGAAGAAAACTCCCGCCAGGCGATACTTAACACGCCCCGTGGCTCAAGCCAAAAGCATGCACACATTTTCGGCGACACAATAGCCACACAATAGATCACCAATTCGTCATCAGCTGCTTGGGATCTGGTATGGCGGCGACACGTTTTACGCACATCCGTCCGTTTAATGCTGTCCGCGGTGCTGTTAGTTGATCCCAGAGGACTTGCCGCGTGAGTCCCCGTTTGTCGTGACGGCAATGATCCGCGCTGCGTCCCTGCTATCATCTCGATCTCCCCGCCATCCCGATGGTCCTTTCATTCGCCGTCAGGCCACGCAGGCACAATAGCCCCCCACGTGAAGCGAGGTATCATGTCAACCCGACCTCGGCTCTAACGCCTATCTGGCATGTTGATCAGCCGCGCGGGGCCCCGCCGGACCGCCCGACACCGCGCCGGAGAGCGCGCGCGACCAGCCCGGCAGACCCGGCCACGGCGTCACCCACAGCCGACCGTGACTCCCCAGCATCCGCACCCCACCTGAGAGCAGCGCCAGCGGCCAGCCCGGACAGGCCCGACCACGGCGTCCCCCACAGTCGGCCGGGACAATCCCCAGCATCCGCGTCCCGCCGGAGAGCAGCGCCGGCGGCCAGCCCGGACAGACCTGGCCATGGTACCACCCAGATCCGGCCGTGCCGTCCCCAGCACCCGCGTCCCGCCGGATAGCGCGGCGGCGGCCGCGGCCGCTGCCTGCGCGCGCGGCGGCGCCGCTGCCGCCCCCTCACCGATATCTCGGGCTGACATGACCCACGACTTTGACGCTGTTCTCCACCCGGCCGACGCGTTCTCGCGATGCACTGTACTCGCCGCCCATGTCGCGCCTGGCCGGGTCGAAGTGAGCGTGCCGTCCTGTGTCCGACGCTGAGCCCGTCCACGGTCGACCGTCGGCGTTGTCGGGTTTACCCAGTTGCGCGTCGGCACCGGCTTGCCGGCCGCCGGCAGGGATGCTGCCGGCCTCCTTCTCCGTCACCTCGACCTCCGTGCCCGGCTGCGGCTCCATGGATCTCCGGCCGCGAGTGCACCTGTAGGTCGGCTCAGTCATGCACGTCACATCTGCATCTGACTTGAGTTCATAATGAGATAGGGTTGGAGAAAATCACTGTGCTGCCGGCATGACGACCTTCATATTTCTAAGCACCAGCATGGCCGTGACCGACTCAACGACAACCCAAATATTCAAAGGTCAGCTCACACCGCTCCACACTCACTGCCACATCCGCGCGTCCCCCAAACCCACGACACACCATAGCGTGCGTGAAACGCCCGGCTTTTGCAGGGCGCGTGCGGGCCGCGCCGTGCTGTCGGTGGTGCCGCACTGAGTGCACATGGGTCTAAACACCGGCCGCGGGGAATGCGTGCGATTTCTGACAGCGCTCCATTTCGCCAATGACATTTGTTGCGACAGTCAGCGGATCCCCCTTCACTCCCATCGCATTAGCCTCGTGTTTCGACGCGTCAATGTCATTGCGAGCATCCGCCGCCGTCCCCCTGCAGCCGGCCGCCCGCGAGCCCTCTGACCGGCCGCACAGAGCCGGCTACAGCCGACCGCGGCCCAAACGGGGCGGCGGCCCCGCCCCAGCCGATCCATCGGTAAAGGCGGAGGGATGTGGACGGCTGGCCGACAGACTCGATGCCGGTGACGCCCCGACCCGACCCGACCCGTTGGTAGAGGCGGAGAGGTGTGACGGCTGCCGACAACCCGATGCCGGCGACGGCCCCGACCCGACCGACCCGTTGGTAAGGCGGAGAGTTGTGGACGGCTGGCCGACAGACTCGATGCCGGGTGACGGCCCCGACCCGACCCGACCCGTTGGTAGAGGCGGAGAGGTGTGGACGGCTGGCCGACAGACCCGATGCCGGGCGACGGCCCCCCCGACCCGACCCGTTGTAGAGGCGGAGAGTTGTGGACGGCTGGCCGACAGACTCGATGCCGGGTGACGGCCCCGACCCGACCCGACCCGTTGGTAGAGGTGGAGAGGTGTTGGCAGCCCACCGACGGACTGATGCCGGGCGACGGGCCGGATTCGGGTGGAGCAGACGGAAGCCACCCTGGCACCGCCCCGTCACAACAACACGGGCCATCCAGCAGCGTTAAGTGGAGAGGGCGGGACCCGGCGGTTTTACTACTCCGGAGCAATTTAGGTCAGCGATATCCGCCGAGGGAGAACGGAGTCTGGCACTCGGCGGCGGACGCGGATGCGTTTCCACTTGGATGTGGCGCTCGTCCAGTTCACCCTCGTCGGGCACCTTGGCACGGCAATGTAGGTGCCATCGTCTCAGAGGAGATGTCCTGTATCATCAGCCTCCTGCTCCACCACGTACCTGGTCGGCCAGGTCAGGTGGAATCAGGTCAGGCCAGGACATCATGTCACCAGGACGCGTCGGAGCAGCGTCACGAGCAGGTCACTGGGGTTAACGTAGCGGCCAAACGCGGGGCTCGCAGCGGGCGCTGCGGTGTCAGGGGGCCCGCGCAGGACGAGCACGGCACATGACGCTGCATGGCGCATGATAGCACATGGCGCCTGCATGGCGCATGACGACACATGGCGCTGCTTACAATCATATCACCAAGCGACACCATTCGACGAGAGCATCAGCTTCGTTTGAGGTTCCCGTAATCAGACGAATGACAAGCGTGCTGAAAGCAATGACCACAAGGTATAGCTCAATCAGATCACATACATCCCCAGCGAACAATTAAACAATCACTGTGTCACTGTCGATGAAAAGCAGGCACGCTGGAAGTCATTACGTGGCTGCATCGTAAATACATCCGACAAGAACAGAGGCGCCGCATACTTTTGGTTCACAGCTGACTCACCAGCACCACTGTCGACGTGACAAGATCAGGCTGTGTGTATCACCTGGTCCGACTGTCGGCGCGACAAGATCAGGCTGTGTGTATCACCTGGTCCGACTGTCGATGTGACAAGATCGGGCTGTGTGTATCACCTGGTCCGACTGTCGGCGTGACAAGATCAGGCTGTGTGCATCACCTGGTCCGACTGTCGGTGTGACAAGATCAGGCTGTGTGTATCACCTGGTCCGACTGTCGGCGTGAGGTCAGACC